CGAGTAAAGGGCGAGGATAGCTGCGTAAATGAACCGTAGTGCAATAAACTAAGAGTTTGCCTTTTTATGTTGGGAGCCTGAATTTGTATGCAAGTCGTAAGTGTGTTTCAATAAACGTTCAGTTGTCAGCGCCTTCCTTCCTTCCTCATTTTAGGCGCATTACAAGTCGATCACGTTTATTCTTGTCAGCTCAGTAGAAGGCAAGAACACATACAACCAGGAACCCACTCAATAAAAGTGCCAGTCACTGGTCTTCAATGAACGTGATTTGTTTTGCGATAATAGGACATGTGCAGAAACATGACGAACACCATGAGGTTTCATTATTTTATGCTGTATGATTGGCACCAATAGGCTTGTAGCTTCCGCCGCGCACGGGGTGAAACAAAGTAGAAAGCAATTCATCCGTAAAGAGATGCTGAACCAAACATTTCAGTGTCTATAATAACTGGCGCACTAACTTTCCACGAGTCAGCAGCCGCCGGTGTGCGAGCACACGCAACGAAATTGAGGTCATAATATTCAACATTCACGCTTAATAAGCTTGAATGGAGGATATGATGACGTCAATTTCGTTGTGTGTGCTCGCGCACACCGGCGGCTGCTGACTCGTGGAAAGAGAGTGCGGAACTTATTGTAGACGCTGAAATGTTTGGTTCAGCACCCCTTAAAGAATTCGAGCTTAGACAACGATAGGTCCAGGACGGCTTCGCTAACGCATTCATCCCCCTTTGTGTTCTCATTACGAAAGTATTAAGTATTTTCCTTGTGCTCATTTTGTTGCATCTTATCCAAATCTGGATCTCTCGAAATGAAGGAAAACAAGTGCAGCTATTGCAATGCATGGCAAGGTATCTTGGTGGCCTTCCTGTCGATCTTGCGGCTCGTTCACGCGTATCTTTTATTCGCTCGCCAGTCTGGCCACGGTAAACTCGCCAATATATCAGCGGAATTTCGTAAACAACCCCCTTGGTGCAATCGGTCAACATATGGCTCCAGGACAGTGGACAGCAGGCGCCTCGGTCGGCTGCAAGTCAGTGTGGCAAAAAGGCAGATTTCGAAAGGCGATGCTACCTAACTGGGCACGAGCGCTGTGTCATAGTTAGACTAGGTTCGAGTTCGGGTACGATTATTGCGGCTGCGGTCCAATTCAGAGTTTCGAAGAGTAGGCATAAGATCTGTCGAAAGATTCGCTCTTGCGCAGTCGGTATTGCGGTGATTCCTGGTACACAGGTAAATTTTTTGCTTTTTGACAGTTTACAAAGCTACAAAGTAACGCCATATATTGAAGCACTGAAAAAAGATCACAGGCACGCCAAACAATAAACCGATTTTTTCGTGTTGTGTGCAACTGAGTTTTTGTGCATGAAAGATGATGGCGGGTCTCATTTTCCCCATATTTTTGAAGACTTACGTGCACTTACAGCACATATACACAGTTCATGTTTCTGGTAACTAAGTATGTGATGAAGATCCAATTTAAATTAAAAAAAACGTTCCGCTCTTTTTTTAATTTGGTGAAGAAAGTAGAGCACGGAGCTACAGCTTCTGTTCTCGGCGGTGGCTTTCCTGGCGAGCGATCTGCTCTTCTTTCGCAAGGGAATCTGAAGCGCTCGACGCAGTGGAAGTTTAGGCGATAGCGGCTTTGCCGCGGTTGCAGAGCCATTCGCGCCGCCGCCGCTGCTCACATCGCCCCTCGTTCCGCTCGCGTTCTTCTTCATCCGGACAGAGTTCCTGAATAGGATCCCTACGGGAGCCAGAGCTGCGCGTCTGTTTTTCACGTGCCACCGCGCCACTATTCGCCGAGATCCGATCATGTGAGGAGCCGGATCAAAGGCGCGCAGGAAAGCAGGCGTTGCACGCGCGCCGGCGTACGTTCCTCTGCTTTTAAGCGCGCCGCGCAAATCGAACATGAGGCGCCGCTTTTCGCCGAATTCAGTCACGCTAGGAGCAGGATCAGCATGGTGTGCAAGAAAGAGGACGCTACGGGGATGAACGCGCAATCCTGGCTCCCGCAGGGAGCGTACAGGAGCTCTAGCTCCGAAGAAGCGTTGCCTCCATCGATGAGTGACGGAGCTCATAGATGGCGGTAGCTGTCCAGAGTTTGGTGTCATCATTTCTTTGCTGGTGGACACAATCCTGGAGAAACTAGCCCTTAACAACTCCGCTGTAAAAAAATGCTTCAATGCTTCACGATATCCGCTGACATTCTGAGTTCTGGTCGGCAGCAAGTCAAGAACCTCCTTATGCTAGCCCTTGTTTTTACATGTCACAGATTGATATTAGACACGGTATAGATTCTAAACCAGTTACCAAAAATATATTCTCTATTTTCGCTGCTTCATAATTGGAGCGGTGTCTGTCCCTCTGAACTGCCGCTCATTTCGACTGTATCTCCAATCTCTGTGGCTTTTGCACACAGACTGGGGCATATCTCTTTCTGTGGGAGGAGGGGGGGAGGAGAGGGGGAGAAAATTGTCGGCCATTTCTACCCCCCCCCCCCCCCCCGCACAGGACGAGTATTGTTTTCGTCTTTGAGTTCGCTTCATTTTACATCCTTTCTAGCGGTACAATAAAGATACAACATCAACTATAGAAAGGCTGACAAAGAACTAAGTAACAAATTTTAGTTAATGGCACGGCTTATTGGCTCAATTACAGAGAGCAGGATAAAAGTGAAAATCATCGACGTAATTTTCATGGGTGTTTTTTTTTAATTGTCTTGAATAAAAAGTCGCATGTTTAACATATTTCACCAAGAAGTAGGCTTGTTCAAAGGCAATTTCAAACGCGCTACAACTAAGCGCAAGAAAAAACAGCCATGAGTAATACGTGTAAAATAAAAATGTATCTGAATACGCTAGCTTGATCAAATTCCACGAAAATATGCCCAGTAGACTTTAGCGCAAAAAATCTATGACCGAGCTTCGTGTTCGCTTTTTTTTTCCTTCTAAATATAGACACACAGAAAGAATGCGCGCCGTACAGCAAATAAAGTAACTGATAAAGTTAGCAGCTAATCGGAAGGTTGCAAACTAAACAATTAACCAATTGGATTTGGATCAATAAACGTGGAGCCACTGAAGTTTAAGCAGCCGTAAAATAGTGAAACATCAAAGTTGTGCTAACAACTCACTGCAATATGCCCACTCATCAGTAGAGGTTATTGAAAGTTGGAATTAATTTACATTGATAAAAGATGGGTAAATTGTCGCGGATCCTTTTTTCGACGATATCCTGCACAGATTCAGAAAAAACACTCCACTGTTATTCAGTGTCACGTAGGCCAATCCCATTATCTTTGACAAACTTTATGTCGATGAGGGGGCGCTTTCTCGGTTACCCGCCGGGAAAATGTATTTTATACTTTAGCTTTCTTTTAATGTAAAAAATATCGTTGTTTTTTTCTTTCAGTAATGTTGTTATTAAGAATATGGCCAACAAGGATGAATTCAGATGGCATCAATAGTCTTGTAAAATCTATATGTTTTTTTGGCATTTGATGCTAATTTAAAAAAAAACTAATTGTATGTATGATGCTGTAATATGCGCATATATTATGCTCACTCCGCGTAACTGCTGATTGTTTTCTTTATTCTTCAATGAAAATATTTAATTTGGTGAATGTCGTAATTTGAGTAGACATACGCAGCAAACGAAATATAAAATGAGAAAGTCAATTTTAATTAACCTCAAGACGCAGCGCATCATGACATATCTTAACAAAAAATAAGGCTTCTTGAATCAAAAAGTAACACCCTCCCCCTTTCTCTAGACAAAGAAATTAAATCAAGGTAAATTATGGCAGTAAATAATTCCGTTTGCGAAAGCTGGTTAACTACACACAAAATTCGAGCGCTCGGTTGACTTCAGTCTGAACAAGCTACCTGCTTTTCTAAGGCACACTTATTTGAAATTTTGTTTTAGCTTTCTCTGGAACACTTCGGTGAAGCATCCAATTCGTTCCTCAGGGGCAATTTTTAATTTCAAATAGTCAATGTTTTTTTTTTTAAACAGCCATTTCTGGTATCATACAACAATCACAATACCTATGACTAAATAACCGGGTTCAACGAAGTTTTCAGGCCCTTATTGAATGTAGGCTTAGCTCTGATGTTAATCTCAAAGCCAATGCCCGAAGAGATTCTGGCAGCACTTGTCTTGAAGCAAACGTATTATTGCTGTGATGACGCACAGTCATCATTTCATGAGAGCCCCCCCCCCCCTCCAGCATGATGCGTTAATATTCCAATATTATGCATTACTAAATTTTAAAAATTGAAGTACAGTTATTATATATGGTAACTTGCTAGTTCTATTTTTTTCTGGCACCTGCACACCTTTGAAGGCTTGTCAGCTAATTGGGAGCACAATAAAAATGTATAGATTGATTGACTAATTGATTGCTTCATCGATTTATGTTAGTGCAATTATAGCTTGGTAATCCGTCATTTTCGCTTTAAAACAATAATTTAATTTTAGTCACCTTCCATCCTCCCAAGTCATGCAAGATAGTATAACTTTTGAATAGATTTTTTTTTTTTTTTTTTTGTTTGTTAGGTGGTACAAAATACAGGTTGAAACACAAATAGTCTAGCAAGTTTCTGGGCACGTGAAACATTCCGGTATCGGTCCAGAACGTTTCCGAGTCCGGTGCATACGCTCACGACGCTCTTCATCAGATAACTTAACACGTAGCATATAAACTTGATAGCAGTTCCTGGAGTAAAGATACTGGTGATGGTCGTGTTTTAAAGTTTGGCGGTTTTTCAGAACCTCCTATAAACAACGGAATCAGTCAATCAGCGTTGATCACGTGACCTTTCCTCCCGCCAATCAGCGTGGAGCTTTGCAGTCGATTTTTTCAGAGTTCACTAAATACGACAATTGAAAGAACGCTTCACATTAATATAAATATTTATAATCAAAATTGCGTATAATATTTCTTCTTATTTTGCTTTAGGTCAATCTAGCTAACAAGATAAAATGAGAAGACCAACTTCAAGGTATAGAAATAATTTATTGTTTCACTAAAATAATTAAAGGAACAAAAAGAAGATGGATGGTCGTCAGGTCTTGCATAACCCTGGTTTGGGAGGATGATGAATGTTGTCTTCGAATTTCTGCAAAGGAAATAGTAAAAAAAATAAAATTAAATCACACATTTCACATCAGTATATCTTTCCGCTTTTCGTTTGTCACATTTGATTAGAAATTCAGTATATGACTGAAAATTCATGAAAAAGGTGAAACTTACACTTCCTCTTGCGAAGAAGAGCGGTGTAGTCGTCGAAGGCGCCAAGGCCATAGCCGTAGTTCAGACCGTAGCTGCCGAGACCATAACCGTAGCCGAAGTCGCCAGTGCCATAGCCGAGAGAGCTGACTCCATAGCCGTAGGCTGGTCCGCTGGCCACAGTGGTGACTGCTGGAGCAGCGTGGTAGCTCTCGTAGCTAGCGACCGCTGGAGCAGCCTCGTAGGTCTGGTAGCTGGTCACAGCTGGAGCAGCGTGCACAGTAGTCACGGATGGAGCAGCCTGGTAGGTAGTGGCTACCTTGGTGACCGCCGGAGCAGCAGAGTAAGTGGCAATTGGGGCAACAGAGTAGGAGGCAACAGCTGGAGCTGCCTGGTAAGTGGTGGCAACCTTGGCGACAGCTGGCGCTTCGTGGTAAGTGGAGATGGCTGGAGCGGCCTGGTAGGTCTCGTAGCTGGCCACAGATGGAGCGGAGTGAACTGTAGTCACAGCTGGGGCAGACTGGTAGGTTGTAGCGACCTTGGTCACAGCTGGAGCAGCGGAGTAAGTGGCGATAGCTGGAGCAGCCTGGTAGGTCTGGTAGCTGGCCACCGATGGAGCGGCCTGGTAGGTGGTGGCGACCTTGGTCACAGCTGGGGCAGCGGAGTAAGTGGCGACAGCTGGAGCGGCCTGGTAGGTTTGGTAGCTAGTCACTGCTGGAGCGGTCTGGTAGGCGGTAGCAACCTTGGTAACAGCTGGTGCAGTGGAGTAAGTAGTAATAGCTGGAGCGGCCTGGTAGGTTTGGTAGCTAGCCACTGCTGGAGCGGAGTGAACGGTAGTCACAGCTGGGGCAGCCTGGTAGGTGGTAGCTACCTTGGTCACAGCTGGGGCAGCGGAGTAAGTGGCGATAGCTGGAGCAGCCTGGTAGGTCTGGTAGCTGGCCACGGCTGGAGCGGAGTGAACAGTAGTCACAGCTGGGGCAGACTGGTAGGTGGTAGCGACCTTGGTCACAGCTGGGGCTGCGGAGTAAGTGGCGACAGCTGGAGCAGCCTGGTAGGTCTGGTAGCTAGCCACCGCTGGAGCGGCCTGGTAGGTGGTAGCGACCTTGGTCAAAGCTGGAGCAGCAGCGTAAGTAGGGACCGGAGCAGCCGCAAAAGTAGCGACGGCTGGGGCTGCGGAGTAGGTAGCAACAGCTGGAGCAGCAGCGTAGCCAGTCAGAGATGGAGCGGCGGCATAGGTGGCCACGGATGGGGCAGCGTGGTAGGACGTAGACACAGTGCGGCTCACGGCTGGAGCAGCAACAGCGTAGCTAGAGACTGGGGCAGCGACGGAGTATCCGGTCAGACCAGAATAGCCAAAGCCGTTGCTCAGGCCGACAGTGTGGCCCAGGCCAAGACCATAACCGTAGCCATAGCCAAAACCTCCGTGGTTGAATCCAGCGAAGGCATTGGTGGCCAAAGCAAGGAGCAGACACGCACGAAACTGGAAGAGTGTGCAACAATGAAGTTATAGCGAACCTGTAAATACAGATATATCTTATAATATCAACTAAATTCTCTAGTTTAGGAAATTGTGTTTTGTCTAATGGATGTTTATGTTCATTGTTTCGAAATACAAATGGCGACTGATATACGTTTAATGCATATTTCGCAAAGAGCACCTAGTAACTTGATATACATGCTGAATATATGGTTATTAAAAGTCGCACCTTGGCATGATATAGGCACATTATTTATAATATATTTTTATTAGGGAGTGAATAATTTATAATTTATATAGGGTGATACATGAACTTAGTGTAATTGGGATGGCGCTGGCAGTGGTAAATATAATATTTTTTTTGGTGGTATTTGACTTCGTTCAGTTCGGAATATAGTAATCTAGTTCAGTTCGGAATATAGTTCGGAATATAGTAGTAGTCAAAGCCACTAATCGATACACTTTCAAAGTGCCGGCACCCCATTCTCCGATCTTCTTGCAGAACCGCCTTTTTGGTACATACTGAAGCGCGGGTGCAATTGGCGATCGGTACTTTACGAAATGGTGAACCCTTGAGCTGCAGACACGTTTTGAGGAAACTTAGACAACGTTGGTTTGCTCTGTCGCGGGCTGTTTTGACATCCCTAAAAAAAAATCCCCTTTTTTGCAACTTCAAATAACATGTTGGATAACTGACTGGACGTTTTGTTATTCTGAAGCGAAGCTGATTTAGTGGCTCTATAGCCATTGTAACTAATTTTAAACGTAATTTAGGTTCACGGTAGAATGCGGGTGAAAGAAATTCTCAGTTGCAATGTTACGTAACTGGCATGTAGTCAGTAGATGGTTGGAGAGAAGTGAACCGATGCTCCTTTTCTTATTTTAGCGTATTTTCCGAAGTTAAGTTTGAGAGACCTAGTTGTTTTAATGATACGATAAAAAATAACGGCATACTCACACCAGCCATGGTGAACTGAGTGCTAGAAGAGAGAGATTGTGACTTGAGAGAGGTTTAGGGCTCCTTTTATAGCAAAACTGGAAAAGTGGAAAGTGGTGTCCATGTCTAATGAGGCTCCTCAGAACAGGTCCAAGTTTACAAGAAAATACGAAAAACAAATAATAAATTTGACTAGCGGCCTTGGTGGCCATTACTACCACGTGCAACACCACGAAAGCGGATGTGCGAGTTACCTTAATGTGAACTGGTTTTGAATGTGACTTCAATCTCTCTCGGAGTCCTACGCTTTGCTAGCATTTCTTTTACTAGACAGAGGGATTACTGAGACAATACGACTGCATGTAGAAGGCTGCGCGACATTCCCATCACGTTCTGAGGGCCCATTTTGCTCCAGGTAGTGCCGCAAGGGCGGCTTCGATACTATCGCAGTGCGCCTTTTGCCAAGAGCAGCAGTTGGCGACCGCGATAAAACAATTGTTGCGACATAGAAGCTTGGGACATCCCTACTACGAATACATGGAGCATACAAGCAGAAACGACGAATAGGCTCAATAATATTTTGCAACGACGCAAACATTATATGCAAGTGCGAATGCGAATGCCCACTCCTGTGACGTCCTCTGCCCGTGTATTTAGGTAAATATAGTTTAACTGTAAGGTGATTTACTTTATAAGGTATTTGATTTGACGCTGCATTAACTTAAAATTTAAGCTAGTTTATCTTTAATACTTAAAAAAAAAACGAGACAGGAGAAAATTAAGAGACAATCACAACGAAGTCTCAAAACACAACTGCAAAATTTATTCAAGGTAACAGCCTCTTATAAAGACGGAACTGGCCGCTGCCTTAATAACAACCGTCAGCCCCACAAACAGTAAAAGTGGGACGACCCAACACCTCAGAAGGGTGACCCAGACCAACAAAAAATGTCTTGGACTATACAGATATATTCTCATCCTACCTTTGAAAACGACAACCGTCAGCCAAATGGTTGTCGTTTTCAAAGCGAGGATAAGTACCTATCTGTATAATGTAAGACTTTTTTGTTAATGAGTCACATTAACAAAAACACTTTTAATATATATATATATATATATATATATATATATATATATATATATATATATATATAACTTCTGAAAAAAAAACACAATGAATCTTTGAAAATGTGGAATTGTAGCTATGGGCTTTCCCGAAGTGTCCTTCTACAAAGAGAACGCACGTGGAAGTTGTGTTGTGGATATTGGTATCGCTTTATTTTTCATAACTGCATTTAGTTATACGCGGAGAGCATAACCCAAATTATTAAAGCTTCTCCGTTGAATATGCCAGATATTCTGATCAAAAAGATCCGCCGACATTGTCATGCTTCTTAAGTTTTGTCAATAGTGCATCCATGCAGTGAGTAACTTCTCATTGGTATGTAGGTAAAATGTTGAAAAGAAATAAAATTATATGCAAAAACTTAATGGTGTAGTTTAAATTTGTCTCAACTTTTGTATTACGGTTTTGCATATACATGTATTGTCACTGTTTGAATTCCTTTTTTTTATTTGTTCCTCCCGGTTATATTTTTTGTATATGTCTTGCCAATTTTAGCGCCTACGATTTTGTATGTAATTTCTTAATTCTCTCAAATAGTCTGCGTTAGGCTCTTGTTGGCTATGCCTGGTCAAATCGCACGTTCCTTATTTTTCTACGTGAGTCTGTTCAGGTCAATAGAGTGTGTGTCATTCTTCATTAATTATGTAAATAACAGGTGAACACACATATTTTTTCCGTGTTGATCTACTTCTGCTGGGACTCCCTCGGTGTTTGCAGTATTTCAAGATAAAAGCTGTATTACTGAAAACCAAGTCCCGAGTAGCGGCGCTGTATATTTCAAAAAAACATTTTCGATTTAAAACATAAGAAACGGTTCTTAGATAAACTTGATAAAATACCATTTCGAGGAAAACTAATTTTTTGGACAGTTGGGGGCTCGTGAAAAACTTGTGTGAAAAACCAGACGTCTGTAGTGAGTGAGCTAGTGTTGGAGGAAATAAAAGCAGCAGACTGGGGGAAGGGGCGGGGGGGTGGGGGGCAAGCGTTTTACCCGTTTTGTGATTAATCTTTATAGGTTTGGGACGCGGAGGTGCTCGCTGATGGCATCGTGTACACATGATCGCCCCTACTGATAGAATTTCCAATTTAAAACAAGACATGCGAACACCCTCCAAGCATCAAACGTAATATATCCATTGTTAGACAAAACAAGTGCTTGGTGCTAAAACAATTTTCATACTGTGCAGTACAGCACTGAAAGGCCTACTTTTTGAGGCCCAGTCCGGCCCGGGCCACCTGACTCTCAGTGTTACCCGACCCAAACTCACCTAGCTCATCGGGCTCGGTCAGGGCCCTGCCCGGCTGGAGGCGCTTCGACTTGGGGCTATGGAACACGTATTAGCCAGGCGAGGCCCTGACGCGTGCTTCATATCTTAAATCCGAAGAAGTGTTGGGAAAGGGTTGGTGTGCTTGATCCGCTCGAAATGCAAATGTCAGCGGCCTTTATATTCAAAATCATATAATCCATGAAATGCAGTACTCACTGAGCAATCATTTACCTTTTTTGAGAAGACATCAAACAGTCGTTTCCGAAGTGGAGAAAATTTATCTTCTAACAATCACTTGTTATATTTCGTATGAAAACTGAATTCGTGAATACGTTAATATACGCCCATTTCCCTGCTAACTTTAGCGGGAAAAACGGAATTAATGTATAGGTTACATGACTTCCATTTTCTTGCTAAATTTAACGGGGAAGTTTAAGTGGTGACTAGGTGACGTGTCGTCAATTTCCCCATCTAAATCGGATGGGGAAACCGAATTGGTGTGTAGGTTCAATTAAGTCAGGTCACATGGCGTCAATTCCACGCGACATTTAGAAGGAAAGTTGAATTGGTGTAAATGTCAGGTAATGCTAGGTCACGTGAAGTCAAATATTACTGTTAAATTTAGCGGGGGATTGCATGGACGGATAGGTGAAAGGGTTCCGTTAGAAGGCATTTCATGCTTCAAGACCTGGCGCATATGAGTTCACTTTTCTTTAATTTAAACAAGAGGTTTAAATTAAAGACAAATGTTCAGCTTAAAAAATATCTTATAGAGCTACTTGCTAAGGCACGTGGGTTTTGTTTCACTCAGTTAGGGTGTAATTAGACTATAGAGATGAATACGTGGTTAGTAGTCTATGTAGTCTTCGCATGCTATCTACGCATGAAAGCCCGGCTCGCGCACGGCTAGGGCCCAAGGACTATGTGTGTGACCCCGTCCGGCCCAGCCAGCAGGCCGGGCAGGGCACGGGCTTTCGGGTTTGCCTGGTTTTATTCAGGGCTCTACTGTGCATATTCAAATAAGCGGTTTCTCAATTTGGCATATGAATTCCAAGCGGAATTCGAGCCTTGGTCGCGTTCGCTACTTTACACTACTTTGCTCGGGATCCTACGCAAAAGAAAAAAAATAAGATCCCGCGACATTTCCTTAAACTGAACGACGACCGAGCACGCCCACACTGGAATTCAGAGACTGTATTTGATACTGCCCCATGATAGCGTTGTGAGTGCAATGGCTATAGTTTGTGTCTGACGTTGCGTGTATTCTCTCCGTTTACAGTACTTTCTGTAGGTGATGCAAATTAGTGCTGCTCTGCGCGAATTGGAAATAAGTACACCGCAGAAAGCAAGGAACAGTGATATTTCACACTGTTTGAATGACAGCAAGGTTCTTCTAAGATATATAGCGATGAACTCTGGCTACAAGAAGATAGCTAGCTGACTCTGTTCCGGGCACGTTTCAGCGGAATGCTGAACTGTGGCCGCTCCGCAGCCAATGTGATTTTGACATCAGCCGATAAACAAATTCAAGACCAAATCACGAGGTAATAAGCCTGAACATAATAAACTACACCCTGGGTTCCTTACGATGTCAGTGGCTCTAATGTACTGTCGGAAATCATGGAATGAGATAAGATATTCTTCCTGTTCTGTGGGACGCGCATACACCACGAACACGTTTCGCAAGTGGTCATGCTCAATATGTGCGTAAACACCTTATACACTACGGGATACGAGTAAAGGTTCAATATGGCGGTTTCACCAGCGGACGACAGAGTTGTCCCCAACCCGAGGGGGACGCAGCCAAGAAACATTGCGACACTCTTCCCACCAAGGGTTAAAGTCGCCCTAAAGAAGAAACGCATTGGCACGTTGGGCCTCTTCAGATTTATGAATTAAGTAAAACACCTGCATGCCCCAGCATTAAGTAGAATATGTTGTAAACACTCGACGGTCCTCCGCAATATTGAGCGGCAAAGTTAGCCATGGTAGCGCAAGAAAGTGGTTTTCCAGAGGGCCCTTTGCTCTCGCTTAGGAGACAGGCTTTTTCCAGCTTTGTGTGGACGTTGCCGTGCCCAGTGCTACCTAAATAACCCAAACATCTCTTCCGACCACTGTGATTGAAATGTACTGCGCTGATTGAAATAATATTGGCTTACGAAATACACGTTTCTGCTGAAAAAACTATTTTTGAAGAAGACCAAGCGGAAGAGAAGTTCCGAGTAAGTCCCTGCATGCAGGCAACCTATGGCCTGTAGCTCGAACTAGTGTGGATATACTTCCAATTTTACCCCGGAGCAAAGAGGCCCACATGGTGCGATTTGGGTGCCTCCTTAGACGGCGTTCAATGCTAGGCAGGAGGGGTAAGGTTGCAGCAACTCCACTGAGCTACGATGCCACGGTTAAATTACCCTCGTGTTCTACCCACGTGAAGGTCGTTAAAAAGCGCGTGTTTTTACTCTAGCCACTCTAGCCATTCTAGTAAAGTTGTTTTTAGACCGTCATAACAAACCAAAAAGTGGGAAAAACGGGCTTGTGTTTCAGCGGTGTACACTGCGGATTACATCGAAACACTATACAGTTGCTTGTCTTCTATTAAGGCTACATTTTTTCGATTCAATTACAATAAAAACATAACGGATAACTAAGCACCGACTGTCCACAATTTTTTTGTCAACATGGGTTGATATCAATTTGAAATTTCTGTTCAGCTGTCTCCTTTTTGAGCCACTCCTCCTTCCGAGGCATTGCGAAAACACCGGAACAGCACTCGCACTGTGTCCCATGAGCACAATAAGGAGAAAAGAACGGCAGATAAATCTCAAGGCTAGGTCACGGATTTATGTTTAACCGTGATCAACCACGTTAAGACGGTTTGGAACTGCTCACCACACGATACACCTTGGTGCCATCTATCATGTTTGCCTATTGGTGCACGTTCTTCTTGTTTTGTTAATGCTGGGCCTCGTTAGCTTTTAAATCGGGCCTTAAACACTTCCGAGAAAGAGACCACCCCGTCGCAGAAGTGTTTCAGAGCAAACTGAATACCGACTACTTACTATATTACTCGTCTGCGTATATTTCATTGCTTTTTTACGTGTTATTTTCTTGCTACGGGCCTAAAATAATTTCGACATTCTTATAATCGACCATTCCTCATTGATAATGTGCGTAGATTTGACCTCGCGAATAAAATCAAACCTACAGTCTATAGTAAAACGTAGTTTGGGAAGGGTTCAAGGGCACACTGTTAGATAGCGTTATTGTTCCAGTATGTTCTCTCGTTGTCAGCCGACACAAGGCGTCGTGACACTGTCGGTCACTAATCAACGCAAATATGTGAACCAGCGTTTAGGTGCCCTTGGGCTAGCGGAATAGACATCGCTTCATTATTTTCTCCGCTGCCATAAAAAATATCTAATAAAACGAGGCTCGTTTTCGTGGTGTTTTGCGGCAGACTACGTCTAAATGAAATAGCGTGTCCAGGTCTTTTTATGGAGGCCATCTTTAGACGAATACATTTAGGCCAACCTGTTTCTCTCACTTGGCCCTCACACGCAGCAGAACGAACCAAACTTGCTTTTTTGTTTCTAGACAAACGCTGTTCTCCTCTTTGCGGCGTTTCAATGGCTCGACGAACAGGCTGAGCTAATAAGGGTCGCCGCTTCTGTTCAGCAATATTCACTTATAACCAAACTCTCCTCTCTCTTGCGATGCACTGTAGACGACCGGACCATATCCAGTAAGCGTATCTCACTTCTTTCTTAGAGCCGTTTCGATTGTGTGCCCTTTTTGTTTCAAACGCGCTTCGGCTGCCAAAAGAAATGTCATCATATTTAAGAAGAGTTTCCTGGCACAGCGTTGGAGCGTCGGGCTCATGCTCTCTGAGACCTGGGTGCAAGTTTTTTTGGCTGGGACGCTCGAATTTTTTTTTTTTTTATTTAGTTTATCTCTTTTTTTACATTGAAACTTATGCATGCGCATAAGTTTCAATATGGCGACAGGTTTTTTATTTTTTTTCACGACGTAAGGTTAAGGAAACATTATTTCTTTCACAAATCACAACAAACCGGGCACACGAGGAAACATCTAGTTGGGCGCGACTTTCTTACGACAGCGCGACTTTTTAGATTACACGGCGCGCTGTCTGATTGGCAAACGATTACTTCTACACACGCTCGCTGCGGAGCACGATATCAATTTTATGTCGGACTTAAGTTGCCCTTTTTTATTTTTGGATTCGTACATAAATCTCCCCAGAGCTCGAATTTTACGAATAATTGCAGCTGCACACTTCAGTTGCCTAAAAAAATCATCTGTTGAATATTTTTAACAACAGGCCACAAACGAGTAATAGAAATATAAGGTAATGCAAATCTTTACAAAGTTGATTAGTCAGTTTTATGCAATAAATTTCCTAATTATTATACAGCCACCGTGACACTTGCTACAGTCGAGAACTTGATCCCGATGAAATAAATTTCTTAACTGCCTTTTTAATTGTTATTAAGCGTTTGTGAAAAATCCTGCTGATATTTTAGTGTCTCCCTTTTGGCCGCTGTATGTATTAAACCGCAAAGTAAATTGATAGAGGTGCTGCATTGCTCCAACAGATTCATAAAAATGAAACACAGTACTGATGAATAGTGCTCTTTCGGGTGCTTTTATTTAAGAACCATGTGAAAGGCAGTCTGATCGGCACTCTTGAGATGTTCCGGTTTCTGAAAGGAGATGAACAATTTTGTTTGAAGGGTGGTTATTTTAAGAGAGACAAAAATATTGACCTAGGCAGTTAATATGCAGCGGCCTACACGAATCAAAACTGAGTACAACTTACTTGTTAAGTCATATAACTAAAGTAATCTAAAAAGAAGAATTATGAGTGGTAGGTATATTCTACCTTGTTGGCAGCCACGTTAACAATACGTATTCACTTTAAGGTTCATATATACCCCCCGTTTTGCTTTCTTTCACATACGTAAAGTTATATCTTTGATATCTTCCTCTCACAGGCTTCCCCGATTCCGACATGCATGCAATTATTTTTTTGTTACCGTTACACCATTTTTTTATCAATAAAAGCATCCCTGTATTTTCTTACTCATTATGACTGTCTTACAGTCTGAAAACTGCGATAGATTAAGAATGGATTGGAGGCCCCTTAATCTATAGAAGCCAAATTGTTTTCGTTACAAATGGCTGCCCATGAAATGGAACAAACCAAACTTCCACCGAACCCGCAATAAATATTTCAACTCTTAGCTTACACTTCTTCTTGCGGAGAAGGGTGGTGTAGTCACCGTAGGTGCCGAGGCCGTAACCGTAGTTCAGGCCGTAGCTTCCAAGACCGTGTCCGTAGCCGTAGTGGCCAACGCCGTATCCGAGGTTGCCGACTCCATAGCCGTAGACGGGAGCGGCGTGAGCGTAGGTAGCCACGGCTGGAGCAGCGTGGTAGGTTTGGTAGCTGGCCACAGCTGGAGCATGAGCCACAGTGGCAACGGCTGGAGCGTGGTAGGTCTGGTAGCTAGCAACAGCTGGAGCAGCGTGGATGGTCGACACCCTGGCCACAGCTGGAGCAGCGGCGTAAGTGGCGACGGGAGCGACGGCGTAGGAAGCCACAGCTGGGGCGGCGTGAACGGTGGCAACCCTAGTCACAGCTGGAGCAGCAGCGTAGGTTGCGACCGGAGCAGCGGCGTAGGTGGCAACCCTAGTCACAGCTGGAGCAGCAGCGTAGGTTGCGACTGGAGCAGCCGCGTAGGTGGCCACAGCTGGAGCAGCGTGGTAAGTGGACACGGTGCGGCTAACAGCTGGAGCAGCAACGGCATAGCTGGCTGGGGCAGCGACACTGTAGCCGGTCAGACCAGAATAGCCAAATCCATGTCCGAGGCCAACAGCATGGCCGTAGCCAAGGCCGGCACCATAGCCAAGGCCGGCACCATATCCAAGGCCGTAGCCATGGCCAGTTCCGTAGCCGACACCGTAGCCGTACCCAGCTCCGTGGCTAAGGCCACCATGGAGGTAACCGGCGAAGGCACTGGTGGCAAGAGCCAGAAGAATGCAAGCACGAAGCTGAAACAGATATTTGCACTTAAGGGTCAGATACACTGTTTATTTATTTTTGGTTAAAGCCCTCAAGTACCGGGGTTTACGTAGATTGACGTCGATGTGTAATGGCTCAAACTTTGCTTAATCCCTCCAGACAAAAATTATTGCTCTGATTGCTGTTATATACTTGTATACAATTATTTTTAGGCAACTACTGACAATCGGTAACAGGTGATCGTTTACGAGTGTATGGTGTATCAAAGTTTCTGCTTCAGAATTGCTTGCTTTGTGAATATTGGTATATTTTAATACGTATATTCCTGTCACCCGTGAGCCATAACTTCTCAACCATAACCAGCCGCAGAGTCACTAGAAGACGCATTGCAGCAGTGCATTACCGAGTGTTTCGAAGAGCGCAATATCTTATGGTGTTTTTGTCACAAATGTACTGAATCCGTTGGTGGCAAAACTGAAACGTTCAGGAACTAAGAACACCTCCGATACATCTCAACATTATTAGAGCCCAACTCTCGATGCTGAATGATTTTCTACCTTATCGCCAGAAAACAAACTGCGAATGAGCACACTTTTGTGTGCATCACTAACCGCTATATTCAGCACAGTGTTGTATGAGAATACGAACCCAATTTCTGAATTATTTACACAGAAACCCATCGTTACTATGCTTGAGACAAGGAAATAGCTTGAAAATGTCTTAACAAAAAGGTATGAAGAAGATTAAAACACGCACCAAACAGTGATACTAAACTTGACATCCTCCGCGTTTTTAAAGACCGTATTGCATAAATGGAAGGCACAATTTTTTATAACAATAAAAGAAAAATACCTATTTTTCTTCTAATTTCTAAATGTCATTATAACTACACTCAATTTGCATCAGTATAAGTTAAAAATCAGACTTCTGCTACTATTTCAGGCAACGTGTAGGGTTTAGTAACAGGTTACAAAAGCCATTCCAAACTCTAAAACGTATTTGAAAGTCGTAACTTACTCCAGCCATGGTTCAAGTAACAAGAAGGGTACCACTATTCTGCCAGATCGAGTACCAGCGCTTATATACCCCTAGCAAGCATTCAATATTCAAAAACCAATATAAAACCAGAATGATCAAAGCTCTTTGAAAAATAATATGAACTCGTGATTGTGCATAGTAATACCTATATATCGTAGCTTTCGAGGTTCACTCGTTGACTGGACATTTGACTCCAGTTAATTATTCAAAGGAAAGCGGAACCCGGGCTTTGTCATTCTTCAATAAACTGGTTCTAACCGATTATCTGAGCGAGTAAGAAGATTGATGCTTCTTGGCACTTCCAAGGATACCGCTGTCTGGATTTTTCCTTGAAAATGCAAGCCACGTATCAATTGTACCCGGTCGGGGTAGAGGCTGGTCGGATGCTCCGTTTTGAAAACGAGGAATCAATTTTTGGCGTCTGGTCATAAACTGATCAACACTACTCTCGCGGAGCGAAATGATTATTCCGAATCCCTTCACTTAGCGCGTGGCAATCCTTACGAAAAAAATTATATCTGGCCAAACCTGAAGGTTTCAGATATGGCACATAACCAAAAATTGGCCACATATAACCTGATATGGTATATCTGCCAGATATAGCCTCATAATGCCAGATATAGTCTGATATCCCATGGCCAGGTATGGAAATTCTAGATCTGGCCAGGCATATCACGCCTGAAATCAGCACTTTATATATTTTCATTGTCTACATTTCTCTCAAGTGCCCCGGCCCGCACCCGAGGAATCATGGGAACGGTGATCCTCCAGCTCCCTAGCGATCGGCAATTTCGGCCAATTCCAGGGTTACACAATTTCGAGTGTAATGCGTACTCATCCTAAACAAGCTTCCCATAGAGCTCAAGGACCTGTCATATCACTTTTAATATTTCTCGTCAATGGCAGCGTTTATGATACTGTGCGTGCGATCCACCTTTCAACCTAACCTCAGCCGCAGAAATCTCTTACAATATTATCATTCTCGTGATTGTCGTTTTAGCGTTTTAGAATTACTTAAAAACCGAGAAATCACAATAACCAAAACCGGGATTTCGCTCGGATTCAGTTGAGCTGTTTTTAGCATTTTTAGCGTTTCTAACATAATATCAGCGTCTTTGAAGCTGCACGAGAATGATAGTAATGTAAGAGATATGTCTGCAGCTCATCAAGGTTGAAAGTTGGACAAAATACACAGTACTGACATTGGCGAGAAATTTTAAAAGTGATGTGACAGGTACTTCAATTCTATATAACACTTGTTCAGGGTGACTCCGAATAACACTTAAAACTTTGTAACCATAGAATTGGTCGAAATTTCCGATCACTAGGCAGCTGAAGGAACACCGTACCCGTGATTCCTCGAGTACGGGCCGAAGCGCTTGGAGGATTTAGCAAATTGCCTATTCGGGCGTAATGTTAACACTTCGAAATAATTAAGCTACATTAAAATTCTCGTGAAAATTAGCACAAATAATCCCAAAATTAAGCTTGTCAAAGCTGAAGTTTCGGATTATTTGTGCTAATATTTAGCTCGCGAACAATGAGTCATTCACAGTTTGCTAACAAATCACTTTTTACTTTTTTTTTTTTTTACTCATTTATATATTGAAAACCGGCCGCCAGATAAAGCTGTATATGTGCCAGAAACGAAGTATATACCTCAAATAAGGTTGTATATGTGCCAGATAAGTCTGTATAGACGCCAGAGAAGGCTGTATGTACGCCAGATAAGGCTGCATATACGCCAGATAAGGCTGTTTATACGCTAGATAAGGCTGTATATAGGCCGTATATAATCATAAAATGTTTGATATGGCCCGATATGCCCCAGTTATAAGATTTCCATGCGGGAAGCTATTTCAGTTAGCAAAGCGGCAAAAACGCGCGCCCTTCACGATCCGCTTTCACAAGCTTTTCATCGATAACAAGCGTCGCATCTACCCCGGCCGCTCGAACTGAAACGTAGAAGTGCAGTGGCATCTCTCCGCTGATCATTATCTCTCCACCGCTCTTCAGCAGCGCGCGTCCCCGGAATTGCCCGGAGCGCACAGGACTTCTAACGGCAACTCGGCCAGCAGTGTAAACTGATCAATCTCGGCTCGCCTATGTGCAGCGGCGCAACGTGGCGGGCAGTACCTTGTTTTTGATCCTCCACAAACCGATGAATGGGAGCGTAGAAGATCATGGCGCATAGCTAAGTGAAGTGGTTCCCCTTGTGGGTGGGATAAGTATTTATCCATCTAAAAGCAAAATCACTATACTATTAAATCTATAGAACAGAAATATTTCCAACAAACTTTTTTCAGCACTCTTCGGCCATCCATCGTCTGGTAAACGAAGCAAGAGGAAGGTAAGACTGCGCCTGCACTGTTTCGCGGTTCCTGCTATCTGCTGATAAACATGGCGTCGGTGGAGATCGTTGACGTGGTCGGCGTGGTGGAAGCTCATCGTTCCGCGTAAACCGGTATCCTTGACTGAGTTCTCGTCGCGTGTCGCGATTATCACCCAGTACGTTATAGAAAGGAAGATCCATTTATTTGTGGTGCGATGTTGTAGCCTCCTACTTAAAGAACCCCTAAAAAAAACGTTTTTGTTTTTTAACAGTTTGGTTTGGACATGCGTGTCAGGCCATTAATTTTACGCGAACACAATTTTTTTAGAGGAGCAGTTTTGAAGGCTCGAGAGGAATTTAGTCGGTAGCCATCTGCTTTTCCTTTGTTTTCCCCCTCGGCATTTCTGACGCGTAGAGGTGAGGTGGATCGGCTTCGCCTTCACGTTGAGGTGTAAAGAGCGAGTGACCATCTCTGAGCGAATGACCATTCCGTGACGTTGCGAGCAGAATTTCAAATAAAACTCTCGCCATTGATATTGTTCTTGAAAGTGTTTTTTGCGTAATATTCATTTCTTTACACGCTTGTCCCATCCAGACTATTTAAGAATGATTTTTTTTTCTAAAGGCAGCAGAAACGCTTGTGCCGCCGTGTTTGTTTAGTCTGACCATAGTGGCGCTTTCTTAGCATTTGTGCCCTCGACTATCGCCCAAATTTCTTATTTTGCGCATTCTATCGGTGTGCTCAAGTTCAAGATATTACTGGAGCGTACTGTATTTAAAGAGATGTATGAAGGATACGAATTTCGACGCGTTTTCATCATCCGAGAAAAGTTATTAGTGTAAGCATTCCTGAGCGCTCGCAACGTATGTGATCACGTAACCATATTTTTACGTCGCTGTATTTTTGCTGAAATTACATAGCCTTTTGCGATCGTAGAAAAGGCTTGGGGCTAGATTTCTACTATCTGTAAAGTCGTGTGCTTAAGTCCTTTTCGTCCAGGACGGCATACTGCATATTTCTCTTTTCCTTTTTCATCCACTCTGCCCTGCGAGCCTATGCTGACAAAATAAAAGTTAATGACGCTTGAGCCAATTAAAAACTCTGTGTATTTCCTGTTACGCCTGTGAGTGGCAGCGCGTCCCCTTCTTTTTAGAGATACAGTGGAAACGGCGTACGGCGGCGGAGAAGCTGCCGTCGTGCTGACGACCTGCTGCGCTTCTTGCAGCGGTTTCAAAAGTGTGTACGCGCGGCGCAGAGTGGTCGTTCCGGTCTCTCCGGTCACAACGGACGCAGTCATAGCTAACGCGCTCGTTCCAAGTTTCCGAATTACAGTTTGTGCAGTCCAGAGCTTTAAAAGAGATGGCTGCAGTTTTATCGCTTACCACTTGAGGAACCACATCGAAGCACTTGGTGCAGGCTAATCGGCTTGAGAGACCCCATTTCTGATGTCATCCATGCATGCTCAAAACATTCCCGTTCATTGAAGCCGCCACTCCTTATCATCCGATTCCGACGAAAATTCGAGTCTTCGTCGGAAGGCTACCTGCATTCTCCAACAGGCGTACCTGCGTATGGGGCCAGTCCCATGCTGTGGTCGTAGCCCAACATATCTAACTGAATTACGCTCATGTGCGACGTGTCTATTGCCGTCGCGGTGAAGAGAGTCGCCGTTTCAAAAGATATGTCGGTGGCATCGGCGCTGTCAGTGCAGAGAAATCTCTGTAGTAAAACCTACCGCACACCGCAAGCTGGCCGCTAACGCTGCCATTCGCCTACTGCCAAGAGAACTTCGGGTTCCGGTGGCAGAGCACGTCATGACCGTCAAAATTACGACGCGGCTTGTTTTGCGGTAAGTTGAAGAGGAAGGAAAACTCGATTGTTCAACATTCTTTCGAGTAGAAGTTAATAAACCGAAACGAAAACGGATGCCTGTCCGGCGATCAGTGAACATTGAAGGTTTAATGTAAAATTTATTTGGCAAAAGCAAAAGCGTCATTCCGTGGTCCCCTTAACCCTATTACAAGAAGGGGTCCTATTTTATGACTTATTTTAAGCTTATTACGGCTTACATATAGCATTTAAATGGACACATTTCGAGTGCATATAGGCGAATGAATGTTAACCATTTCTTTAATGATATAACTGGGCAAGAGGTAATGCCTGTTCTCGGAGTAGTGATCAACTACCTTGAACCAGGGGCTTACCTCAAAATGCGACTACGAGTAGCCATAGTAAGTTCTATGTCGCTGGTTACCGTGATAATAATTCGTCACTAGCATTCGTAACCCGCCGTAAGCCGAGCAATGTAGTCAAACGTCGTTAAACGTAACTGTTAAGATGTGCATTCCCCCTGAAGGAACATTTACGGCTGGCTATCTCATTACTGAGTAGTCTATGGTACCACAAAAGTACGAGGTCCACTGCCACATTTTAAACCCGGGGCAAACGACAATGCACTACATGAGTCCTAATATTGCACATCTGTATGCGTCATCATTTTTGAATGCGTAGCAGGCAAGCTCTTAGGGATTTCGTGTCCGCGGATGTAGCCTTAATGTCGTCATGATGCCATATGATACTGACATAATCCCTAATGCGCTCGATCTTATCAGACGTCACGTGACACGAGGCCGTCCCCCGACACCTTGAAGCAGCGTGACACCTTAGTGCCACGTGACACCAACGTCATG